GTAAAATGAAACAATAGACGTTTTTATATCGTCATCCAATATATATCGTTATATATATAACATAACTATGCTGTTATATTACAACACATTATAATGCTTAATTGGATTCATTTTTTTTTTTAAAATGGAGAAATCACCCATCAGTGTTACTGTTTTGTTTTGCTATGCCTGACTATGTTCATACAAATGGGAAGCAACTCATTCAGGAACTTCTGGTTTAATCAGGTTGGCATCCTCGACGTTGACCTCTGTGGGCCAAGCATTCCTCGTATGCTGAGTATGGGCCGGCCCGACGTGCACCAGTGTGACTCGGGTTGGGTGCCGGTATACACTGACACCCAGAAGAGCTTGGCCCTTATGTCTATTGGCTTTCTATTGGAGGACCCAGATGAAGCTGTGGTGTGGAGGGGTCCCAAGAAAACAGGTATCTGCTAGACTGCTAATCTGAAAGGCTTGAACTGTACAAGACCTGTGAAGGTGCTCTTCAAGACATCCTTTGAAGTCTTGAAGAGCACCACAAACAAGCACCCTGTGCTTCCCAAGAAGCTCCAACCCTGTGTGCATTCACAGTACTAAGTTTAAGTAATTGTGCAATGTGACTGTTTGCGCCACCAGCCCAGTGTTTGAAGACTTTGCTGTTGAGCTCAAGTTTCTTCTACCATTCATCCTATCCATGTCTGCATGTGCTTTACCCACAGCTTTGATTGGTCAGTTTGTGTCAGATGTAGCTTGGGGAGAGCTGGATGTGCTGCTGGTGGACACACCGCCCGGGACATCAGATGAGCATTTGGCTGTACTGGAAAACCTTAAGAAGCACAGAGTGGATGGAGCCATTTTGGTCACCACCCCTCAGGTACATATCAGAATGAGGCAAGAAAAAACACACGTTTTGTATAGTAAGGTAAATAAGAACACTGGCCATCACTGCACCTTTCTTGTGTAGTATTTTCTGCAAAGACCAAAATATGTTGTCATATGTTCCTTTTATTGGGATCATTATTACAGACAGAACTGCTGGACCACCTAATGCATGCTAATAAAAACACTCTTTTATGAATGACACTCAAAGTAAGTTGGTCATGTATTTTCTTACAGGCAGTATCTACAGGTGATGTGAGAAGAGAGATCACCTTCTGCAAGAAGACAGGTGTACGGATCCTGGGCATCGTAGAGAACATGAGTGGATTTGTTTGTCCACACTGCTCTGTGAGTGAGCCTTTATGCTGCTGTTTATTTGTTCTACTGAAATATACAACTTATCAGACACTGCTCCTTTTAATATGTCCTCAGTTATTTACTCACCAAACTATATGTTTATTTAGCACTCTTTTAGTCTTATCTCCATTTTTTTGGTTCTCCATTTAGAATAACCTGATTTTATTTTAATCATTACCTTTTTCTTTTTTTTAAGGAGTGCAGTAATGTATTCTCAAAGGGGGGTGGTGAAGAGTTGGCCGAAATGACTGGGTCTGTGTTTCTAGGTGAGAGTCACAGCAGTGAATTACTTGTAATGCTAGCATGCAGCCACAAGGTGTCTCGGTACACTAGCAGGAAGTGTCACTCCTGACTAGGGATGGGTATCGAAAACTGGTTCTTGTTGAGAACCGGTTCCCACTTTTTCAATTCCTTGAAATTGTTTGCCATTTTTGCAAACAATTCCCTTATCGATTCCAGTCGCTGCGAATGACGTCACCACGTTGCGGAGCGTCATTTACCTGGCAGGAAACACGGCGCCTAAGCGGCTCAAACGCTCAAAAGTTTGGTTATACTTTACGAGAACGGATGACAACAGGGCAACTTGCAATACTTGCAAAGTAGATATTTCATTTAAGGGAGGAAACACTACGAATATGCAAAATCATTTGCTTACAAAACACTCGATAACCTTAAATGAATGTCGTGTTTTTAATTCTGCTCTGGATTTGTGAATCTCAACCCAGCATCAGCGGTAACGTTTGCACGTCCTCTCCCGTTAATGCGGCAGGTAAATAATCAACTAACAGTGCATATTATGTTAGCGCGATCTGCCTCATTACAAAACCTGCCATTACTGTGCATTTAGGTGACCATGATGAGAGAGACAGAGTCTGGCTGGCTCAGATGCTGGCAGTTCTCACTGCAGTCTACCGGTAGCGTCTCCTTTCAGGCCAGGATAGACGAATGTCACCGAGCAGTGACTAAGTTTGTGGTAAAAGGCTTGCACCCATTTGCCACAGCAGATGCCCCCGATTTTCAGTAAGTGAATGTGTTTAATTGTAGGCAGGAACATTACTGGATATTCTTGTGTAATTGCTACAGAATAATTTATGTTATACTTTGTTATTGCTACAGAAGAATATTTATTTTATTATTTTATATTTACAAAAAATTTTCCTGGGCACCCTGTGACACCCCATTGAAGAGCTGTAGGCTGGATCTCTTAAGATGTCACTGTTGGGTTTGTAAGGCCATGTTACTCCTAAATTTCTATCTTGTTCAAAAGGAAGATATAAAAGAAAGTTCTAAGCTAATCGACCTTAGAGTTCTCCTTTTTTAAAAAGAATCAATAAAGAATCGAATCATTAAACAGAATTGAAAATGGAATCGGAATCGTGAAAATCTTATCAATACCCATCCCTACTCCTGACCCACCAGTCATGATTCTGGGGGTTTTCCATCACTTCCATGCTGCTTAAAGTCTATGCAGACACTTTGTTCAAATGAATGATGCATAACTGATCAGTAGGTGTCACTCAGATGAATAGATAATTTAATAATTTCTCTTGACTGCGTAACCACTTTGTGTGAAAATCAATAATGAAGCTAGATCAGCTTACCAGTAGCATTGAGTCACCAGCTTTAGCCAGCACACAAAACTATAGCACATTTCATCAATGACTAATTTGAGTTGCACTAACAGGATGCTGGGATGTGTATTAAGAGTTAACCTCATGTGGTTCATGTAGGATCAGTCCTCTCTTTTCACTCATTTCAGGTTGTGTGCCATTGGATCCTCTTCTCAGCGCCAGTATAGAGGAGGGCAGAGACTTCGCACAGTCATTTCCTGACAGTGCCACCTTCAGTGCCATTAGCAGTATTTCTCAGACTTTGCTCAACAGCCTACAAACTGACTGAGACAGATTTTGCATATTTGTGCTGTGAAAACTACATGAGAAGTGTTGACTTCCTGTCTTGTTTAGTTCCAGCCTTATGTAACCATTTACTGATCATGCTAGTAGTATCCGTTATCTCTGCTGCACAGCAGACTTTGTGCATATCTGTCTGCTGAAGCTGCACTTGTGGTTTGAAGATTGTCGGCTCTGAGCGCAGAACAAAACATAAAGAGATAACTACTGTTATTAACTCAGCTGACCTTTCTTTGTATGTTGGTCTGTAATACGATGGTAAGCTGTGCTGCCCAAGAGAGGCTTTAAACAACAATAAAATATGGAGTACTGAAAACGCTACAGTCTGTGTGTTTGGACGCAAGGCAAATCTAAGTTGGAATCTTCTTTAATTCAATTGTGAAAACATTCACGTCGACACATCAGGATAAATTCAATACCAGTGATAATACAGGTTTGTTGATTGGTGCTTCGGTAAAATGCGTCAGCAGCAGTGCCATTTTCAGAAAACCAACTCCAGATCAAATTGGTCAAGTCCATGTAGGAAACTAGGTCAAATTTTGCATACTAATCTCCCCATTACATCCTACAACACATCTTCCAGACACCATTTAACCCTCATTTTTTGCAATGATATATTATTTGAATCATAAATCTTGATTCTTGATCTGGATCATAATCTTCTGAAACCAGCCTATGCTTCAGGTTCATATTCCAACAGCAACAAAACACTAAAACCCATGCAGGATTCTTACGGCTGGAATGTGGAAGAGATGAAGTACATCCACGGATGAGGGGAGGAGAAGGGGGCAGGTGAATAAGATGGAGAGGAGATGAAATGTGGAAATTACACTTGTGAGACCCCAACACAGGGCACACACACTTTTAATGCAAACAGCAGTACTACAGGAAAAACACTGAAGTTTGAGAATGTTCGCGTAATGATTAGAATACAGCTACACATAAAACTCCCACTCCACCAGCAACATACTAAAGGCAATCTTAATTATTAAACCAAGAATTACATCCAGAGGAATTCCAACCACTTATCACGATTAACCCACAGTGCATTAAATCTATCTATATAGATATTTATATGTCTATATATTTATATATGTATATATCCTGGGGAATTAAGAGACTTTTGCTGCATTAAACAGTTCAAAGAACAATTTCTCATAAATAAAATCAGTGGAAAAAGAAAAAAAAAAATTTTTTTTTAGTCCATACACATTTCTTTTTACAAATAGATCCTCAAGATTAATGCAGAAACTATCAACTCCCAGGCTGATATGGGAGGAGAGGGAAAAAAGAAAGAAAGAGAAAAGCAGCTGTACGGCCCTTTGGTCAGCTCTGTAAGACCAGAGGCCAAGCTGCCCAGGCTGGCCTCAAAGCCTGAAATAAGTGGAGGGAGAAAAGGAATCTTCATCATACAGTTGTTTTTAAACACACGCACACACCCACACACGAGACAGACAAATCACTACATTGCGCATTTACAAGTTGACTATCAAATTGGGACAACTGTACACATTGTTGAGATAAGACCATATTTATGGTGCCATTTTAATTTATTTTTACCCCTCCTGCATCACTTCTTTCATCTTGCGTGCCAAAATCCCCCGCCCAAACCCGTCCCTCTCTCTTTTTAACCTTTTGTGGAGAGGATGAGAGCAACAATGAGCCCATAGAGACCCAAGACCTCAGCAAAAATCAAAATGAGGATCATGCCCACGAAAAGCCTTGGCTGCTGAGCTGTGCCCCTCACGCCCGCGTCGCCGACAATGCCGATCGCAAAACCTGCTGCCAGCCCGCTGAGGCCCACACTCAGCCCAGCTCCGAGTTGGAGGAAACTCCTGCACAGAGAGAGATACAGACAGTGGTCAGCACAAAGATGTTGCTTTAACCTTTGAAGTTGACACGAGTCAGAGCATCTTTAAGATTAATGCGACTAATCACAGCCTGTCCTTTGATACAAGTCTAGTGACCCGAAAAGCTGATATTTCTTTTACAAGCTGTAACCAATGCAACATTTTATTCAATCACCAACATGTTCATTTGATTCTTCCCCCCAGTTACCGAGTCATACTGTTGAGTCTCAGTTCAACAGTATGACTCATTCCCCATTTTTCAATTAACAGACTTTCCTTATAACAAGGGACTCGATAGCCCAGGCAAACACTCAGAGCAGCTAAAAGTCTGATGATACTGAGTAAAAGTCATTCTGAAATTAAAAAAAACAAAAAAAACAAAAAAAAAACAAAGTAATGTGATATCAGAAGGAAAAAAATAGATGGTGTTCATCTCCAGATCATTACACCTTTACATTGTGTAGTAACAAAAAAACAACACAAATCATGTGCGTTACTCAGTGAAGTGCGTAAAAAAAAAAAACAAAAAACAAAAAACCCCACAACACTTTTACTTCTTTAAAAAAAAAAAATAAAAAAAAAAATAAGCAGTTTCAATAGCTTATTACTTTTTCTGGTAAAGCTCCCTGTATATGGCCATACTGCACACTGCCCATACTGTCAGGCACTACCCTGAATAAATGAATTAAGGTAGAAATCAAGGATGTTTGGAACATAAATATTTCTTAATATTTATAATAAATATGGAGTGTAAATAATTGTCCGTCTTGATAAGTTATCCCCGCAACAGATTGGCAACCGTGAAACAGGTTGCTACGGAAAAATGTGATATCCGACCTGCCAGCGAATGACTGCTGACTGGTGCTAGGTGAAACAGGCTTACAGTGCTGGACTGAAAACTTGCTTGTGATTGATTTGGTTGCTAGCAGGTTGTCGTGGTTGCCCAAGGTTCAGATGGAGGAGGCTGACTTCTCTCCAAACCAACTACTTTCCAAGTGGTAGTAAGGCTGAAAAGTGTGAAAGAAACCAAAAACATCTGCACTTGTTCAAGTTTTACCACCACTTGGCTCCTGGTTGGCAACTGTTTGCAGAGAAGTCTGAGTTGTTCATGAAATTATTGGAAAATGCAGCAACCAAAGCAATCATAAGGAGGTTTTTGGTGCAAATGGCCTTTTTCACCTAGTGCCTGCCAGCAATTGCTTACTAGCTGGTTGAGATTTTATATATTTTTATATACATATCTCGTCTTTATACTTGTGTGACTTGGCCTTAGATAATGAGGGACTTGACACTCTTGATTTTCAGCAGGAATTTTCTTTGCCCTGTTCACCAACCCAGAACTCATTATTTTGAGCAAGATTGAGAGAACGTCCTTTAATGATTGAATATTCCAAATTAGAGTACACACAATGAAATCCAAATTGTCTAAAAGCAGAACTGGACGGTCAGTCTTTCAGAAAGAAAAAGAAAAATTGCAAATTGTGCATCTATAGAAAATAACTTGTCAGGCGAACTCACTTGTAAAGAGACTGCTTCTCTGCGGTGTTGTTGGCAATCAGCACTGCTACTACCAGGCCGTAAATGGCAATGATACCCGCCATGACCACAGGGATGATTGACTTCATGATGAGCTCTGGCCTCATCACAGACATGGCAGCAATACCTGTACCGCTCTTGGCTGTGCCATAGGCTGCTCCCAAGGCTGTAAGGAATGACAGAAACGATAACGAGTTAGATAAATAAAAACACAGCAAACTAGAGCACACAAACTACAATGCACAGGTCACAATGGGCTGGCAGACAGATGACTGAACCCAGAAGGCAGAGCTGAATAATGAAGCAGAAGCGAAACAGGAGATGGAGCAATGACACAGCTGTTAGTTTCTGTTCCCTTTAAAAATCCAACATGGCTCTACTTGGGAAATTTCCCCCTTCAAATTGAAACCAATTTTCTACAAATACAGATTTAGGCAATTAAATATGTATTCTCATTCAACCAATGTTATTCCAGAATTAGGCTGCAGAGCTGTACATATCACACTCTAAAGAACTTTGGGCTTCAGTACACACACAAAACTGCAGTGTGAATACATATTTATTCACAACCCTGCAACATCTGCTGTGTACCATCTCTAGCCTGTCAGGCTGTAAAGTAATGGGGGACGTAGAGAACAAAAAGCTTCACCAGCGAATTTAGCTCTGCTGATCTGTGACTTACAACGGCACCATCTGCGTCACACACACAATCAAGTCTGACGGCAGGAGCAGAGTAAAAGAAAAATCAATAGTTGCCCGTTTCGAAATTAGAAAAGCATAGTATAAACAAATATAGAAGAAAAGACATCCATTAACAACAAGTCATAATTCTGCCTGACAAAAAAGGTCAATGTGGCTCATTTCTCAATATACAAACAATAGGCTGAAAGAGGAGGGTCGAGAATCAGAGACAGGCTGGTTTGACAAGGTTTCCTGTCAAAGGTGTGTGCACATTAATGCAAACCTGTTCATTCACTTCAAAGCAAACACGCGATCGAGTCAAAGCTCTGATCACACTCTGCTTACATTCTGTATGAGCCACCATTTTGGCTATAAGCACATTCACTTTTTTATTGGGAAATTTTCAGTTTTCACAAATTCAACAATATTGTTCAATACAGCCTTTGCACTCAAATTTTGTTACCAAGCTGGCAAATCCCATGTAACAAAATATTTGAGAATACGGGGAAAAAAAGTGTAAATCTGTAGCCTCTCATTTATGAGGCCACTATGATCTTAAGCTGACCTTGTCATATCAGTGGTGTAAAAGCCAAAGCCCTGACAATGTCATTTTCTTGGCTCTCTGTAGCAAACACGCAGATGATGATTAAATCTGAAAAGTCTCATGTGAGATCATCCTTGGAGACAGCCTGGTAAACACAGCCCGAGGTGTCCTGCACTGTGTAGAGCCTGGAGAGATGGCTTTCTGGTTAGCTTAAATAAAACTAGCTGCGAGGATATCTGGCAAACAGATCTAGAGACAGACAGGAAGGAGATTGAGGCCAATCCACAAATGTGCACATGGCAGCCAGCCCCCCCCTCACTACTTATATTGATTTAACATCAGACTGATGATATCACTAGAAGTTAAATCACTCCTGCTCACCTACTCAGATGTGTCTTTGTATGACTGGGCATTGTTTTTTGTGAGAATTGCAAGAACCAAAAGAAGTGAGAAAAAGATCGTTTTACTTTTCATTTTGACTTTGGAGGTGCCAAACTTTCAGCCGGGGGTGTAAATGCTTTAAATCAGACGTGACACTGACTGCAGTGCTTCAATATAAAAACTGATTGAGACAGCAGCGATGCTTAAAGCATTTTCCCCAAAAGAAAACTACTATATTGATAAACCAAATGACTGCAGGGCAATATGCTAACACACGTCAGCCTTCGTCTATTTAAAAGTTTAGAAAAATGCAGCAGTCCATTA